TTTATGTGGATGCCACATCAACAAAAAAGGGACCCAGTTTTGTCACGTTAGCAGTTAACAATTTTTTTTACAATTTTCTTAACGGAGGGTGTCTTTTGAAAGGTTTCGTGAAGTTTGTGTACTAGTCAAATTGGTCAAATCGTGAAGGTTTCGTGAAGTTTGTGTAATTTCCCCCATATATAGTTTAGCGGGTTTATTGTAGTTGATCCAAAATATAATTGTCATATCTTCCAATTAAGGGCAACTGGTAGTTTTACCTTGATTGAGTAATAAAAAGTATCAAACTAAGAAAATTAAATATGTATGTTGAAGGTGGAACCCCGATGTTTTAGTGCTTTATCTTATTGAAATCACCATTCTTTGTGGAAATAATACTCGTACTATCTAGTTATACTGTTGTGCGAGACCCTCACTTGAGTTTAACAAGCATGTAGTATTGAAATTGAATCAAATGCACAAGATCCACCATTCCTCAACCTTTGACTACATACTACCATCTATTTCATTTCTCTTTGTTATTCTCTCTCAACTGTCAACACACTTTCTCTTCTCTCTCAGCCACATGCTCCTCTTTATTCCTCATTGTCGCCACCGCTTCACTCAGCCAATTGAACTCCCTTTCATGTTATTAGACCCACATTGCCTGACTCTCGGTCTCACGTTCGAACCATCATATTTTTTATTTTCAAGGTCAACTCTCGCACTTGCATTGTTGCATAGTTGCACCTGTACATAGTTATGAGGTCAGATCTTATTTATTTGCGAGTTTGGTCCTCAAAGCCGGTCATTGCTCCCTCCCATCTTCTAAATGCGATAAAACCGATGAAACAAATCGACTATCCATTAATCTAGTTTAGTTTGGTCGTCATCATAAGGAAACCAAACAATTAGGGTGGATGCAGTTAGATTGACGATTCAGAAGTAGAATCAGACTTAAACCAAACCGTGCCATATTGTTTTTTTTTAATATTATTATTATTATTTAATACAAGCGATAGTCTAAACTACAAGGTGAATGAGTTTCTCACACACACAAGGTGTCATGAGGATTCGAACCTGAGACCATTGTTCTACAAGTCAGGTCCCTTCTAGACCCATTGACATCTTGTTTCATTTTTAAAGCTAAAGAAAGATAAACAAATAAAACCCAACGTTTATTGAACTGGGTCACAAGGTTTAAATTTCATCAATATCAAACCCAATGTTTTTAAATCTAACCAAATTACGTTATATATCAACTTCACCTTTTGATTTTCTGTTACGTGAAAAGTTAATTATCAACTTTCTGCTTGATGTGTAAAAAAATAATATAAAAAATTAATAGTATAGTATTGGTCAGTAAAAATAATATTTAAAAAAAATTACTAAACCCTTACCAAAGCACCCCTCCTCCTTCGATCTCCCTCTCTCTCTCTCTCTCTCTCTCTCTCTTTCCCCTTTCTTCAACAACAACAACCAAATCCCTCTCCACCCTATTTCCCTTCTCCCTCAATATTTTTTAACTGTGAATTTGAAACCACCGTTGCTACAGTGAAAACAATCAGAAAGCAAAAGGATGAAATCAGGGAGGTGAACATAGATCTAGGTTTTTTTAGGAGTTTTAGGGTTTGGACGAGAAGAACTACTTGAGCATGGACACATAGACAATGAGACAATAAGGCAGTTGGTACATGGGAATTGGATTTTCACGAGATTGACATCATGGGACGCCCCATTAGGAGCACCGCACCTGCACTCCGCCTCTGATCCAACCGCCACTCTTGGATTCTGGTGGAACTGACAGAGGTTGATGCTGCTGCATCATACTGGATTAGTATCGCCTTCCTCGTTTTGCTAGGTGGTTGGGGGAAAATATTTAAATATTTTAAAATATTTTTTTGCACATCAGCATAAAAGTGGGTATCTTAATTGCCATGTCACCAGTTTAACAGAACTCATTTGCTACGTCATTAATTTAACAAAAAAGGCTTAAATGCTAAAATAGTCTTTGTATTTTATCACGTTGCCCAATTTAATCCATGTATTTTCAATTTGACCAATTTGGTCCATGTGTTTAACATTGTTAGTCAATATAGTCCATTATGTTAAAATTGCCATTAAATAACATGATAATCCTTTTTTTTTTCCCCTTATTCTCTTGAAAACCTAAAATTAATTTATAAAAATTGAATTAATTCAAAAACATATTGCAACTTTATTAGAAAAAAGAAAAAAGGAAACCAGGATGGGCGCAAGGGAGTAGGGTGATGACCACGTGGCAAGTGAGTTAGAAGATCTAGGCGGCGCGATTGGGATGAGAGAATGGCGAGGGAATTGTTGGGTTGGGGAAAATCTTACGGGGAGATGGTTGGGAGGTAGGGATTGTTCTTGAGAGAGAAAGAGAGAGAGAAAGAGAGAGAGAGGTGGGATGGATTAGATTTCGGATGTGGTGTGGTTGTCGTTGGGGAAGTTTAGGCTTTTGGGTGTGGGTGGGGATAGTAGTTGGGGTGGTATAGTGGTGGATTCATGAATTTTTCAGGGGTGGGTCAATATTGAAAAGGCTAAAAGGTCAAATATATATATATATATATATATCTTAGACAACCAATACCCTTACAAATTAAATAATACTAATGTTATTCATAATTAAAATAAATAAGAGTGTATGTCTAAGGCTAATTGACTATGACACCTCAAAACCCTAGCCCTCTTTCTCCCCAAAAACACTCTTAGAGCCTTTTCCACTTTGAGGGGGAAGGAAGCCATTGTTCTTCCCCCCTCTCCCCTCTTCTCTTCCTCATTTCACCTCTTTCCCCATTTTTAGAGACAAAGGGTTTTCCCTATTTATCTTAGTTTTGTTATGATTTTCATCCAACCATTATAGGCGGCTGCGGCTCAGTGTCGGATCTTCACCTACATTTTGGCGTCGGATCTCCACCACCATCTTTTTTGCAATTTCTTTATGTTTGGAATAAGTTGCAGAGACTCTTTAGGTTCTCTGTGTAGTTTTCACCTCTCCTTTTGTGAGAGTTTTTCATCTCTCCTTTGTGAGAGCTTTTCATCTCTCCTTTGTGAGAGTTTTATTTGTATTGTTATGGCTTGGTTTTTTCAAGCCTCGTCTCTTTTTTATTATTCTAAGTTTGCAATCTTAGTTGGGATGCCTATGCAAGAGTTTCTTCGATCCTGCCTGATCGTTAGTGGAGACACACCAGATTGACTTAATTTTGATATTAGACCGCTCCGTTATTGTAATGGCCATTTTGTGGCTAGTTTGTATTGGCCCTTTGTGGCTAGTGACTTTTTTGGCTGAATTATGAATGCAATCATAGAATTTCTCAACCAAAAAAGAAAAAAGAAAAAAAAGGCTAATTGACTATGGTCTATTTTGTATATAAATTATGCACAAATTTATGTTACACAATTAGTTTACCAAATTTCATATCAAATATGAACAAAATCCATGTCAATTACACAATTAATTTACCAAAATTCATATGAAATCATCCATGAATCTAACCAAAATCAATAACAATTAATCTAACCAAAATTACATGTGATTTGGAGGTCATGAGATAAAAGTACATGTGATTACAAGTTCGGGGTAATTTTCAATGAATTTTTCGAAGCACATATGAATTTTTAAAGAATTTTTGAAGTTGGTCTAGTTAAAATTTGACACACGGCACCTTGCTAGTGGCCCATTTTGAAAAGGAATTAAAGTTGAGAAGCACAGGATTGTAACTACAAACATTTTGAGTTGTCTTCTTCGTAGACTATGTTCCGCTTCAAAATTATTCAAAAACTTTTAAAATTCATAACTTTGGTTGTGGAGCTCTAATTGACAAATCGTTTCTCCTACATGATCTATCGAGCCCAACAATATAAGGTAAATATTTAAGGTCTCACACAACAGCAACAAAAAAAGCTTGTTTGTGGCATTTAATCGAACACTTGGTAGGCACAAATAGAGGGGCAAATTCCAGCATCTTCAATGCATTTTCCGGCGAGGGGAGGTGCATCCTTGAACCTCTATGGGTATGCCAGTGGTTGCTTGGGGGACTATGAAAAGAGAGAAGGGTGTTGCGATTAAGATAAATTATATTTTTATTTCATTTAGTTTTTAAATCTTATTTTTATTTCTTAATTAATTATTTTTAAAATTGATTTGAAAATATTTATTTATTTTTTATTAATATTTTAATAGAAGTGTAACGGATTGAATGACATTGGCTAACGATGCTAAACACATGAATCAAATTGGCTAAATTGAAAAAAAGGGGCTAAATTGACCAACTTGATAAAACAGAGAGACCATTTTAGCATTTAAGCTTACAAAAAATTAAACGATTAAGTTGATGAAGAGCGTAATTTGGTCATATTTAAGAACGTTGGGTTTTATATTGATGAAATTGAAACCTCGTCGTCTATTTTGATAATGACCCCGAACATGTAGGGAGTAAAATGTCGTTAACCCGCATTAGAATTAAGAAGTTTGGCCAAAAAAAAAAAAGAATTAAGAAAAAACAGACAAAAATTTGACTCTTTCCAGCAATCACAAACACGTGGAAACCAAAACCCATTTTCAGTGTTTCACAACAAATTCACGCGGATTCAGATAAAAACTCACGTGGACTAAATGCGTGGTGTCGGCCTTGGTAAAACTTTACTTTCACCAGTATAAAATGAATTCCAGATCCCTTTTCCTCGCTTCTTCCTTGTGGCTCTGACCTCCCTTTGCGTTCTTCCTTCTTCCTGCGGAGGATTCTCTTCAGGTATCTCTCTCTCTCTGCAAAAAATCATAGTAGCTTTGCTAGTGTTTGTTTTAGATCTATCGCTTTGAATATTTGGCTGTTATTAATTTCCTATTTTTAGTCAATTTCCCACAAACTGTTGTGTAACAGATCCGAGTCAAATGTTCGTCGTTGTAATTTATTTATTTTCTATATTACCTTTTGTAATTTTTGTGAAGGCTAAGTTTTGTGGTCAAATTTTGTTGTGTAAAATCAGTTTGAGCTGTATTTACTATTTGCTAAAACCAATTTAAAACCCCTACTTCTTCTGCGATTTTGGGCGACTTCCAAATGGTGTCGAAGCCGTCTCAGCTTTGGTTTTGATGCGAGCCATTACGGCTTTTTGGGTGTTGTTGTTTTGAAGTTGGTGTATGTGACGGAGGAAAGCTCCGTTTTTTCAAAGGTGTGACTTAGATCTGTTGTGAAATCGATCGCATCTTCTGTCTTCCTGTTTGGTTGCCTACAAAATAGAAGAATAAATCAAACCAATAGGGGATAAAGTTTATGGGTTTTGTTTTTATGCGTGTTCTTTCCAAGTTATTTTGGTTTCATGAAATTCTATGCTTATTTGTATAGAATATGTGCGTGTCTGACTTGGATTCATTATTTAGGTCATTTTTATTTTGCAACTAAATGGAGAATTAACTCTGTGAAACAAATTATTTTAAGATTTTCTATGGATTTGGAATATTTCTGGGTAAGTTTATCTGATTTTTCTTTTCTTTTCTGATGATTTTGTCTGTAATATGGACAGGCGTTCTTTTGTGGAACAGAAACGGTTTCGAAAATGAACCATTTCAATGTTCAGCACCAGAACGCCTCTTTTGTGGGCTGTGAAGACATCAGAGGGTCTGCCTTTATCTCTGATACCAAGGACCCTGTGGTGTGCCCCAAGCCCAGGCGAGTTGGGATTTTGTCCAACAGCCCCATTAGGCCCTTGAGATGGCAGATGAGGTACCTCTTTTAACCGATGCTGTCCTTCCCACCTTATTTTACTTTTCTGCTTGTTTTTAGCTGATAACAATTTTCTTTTGTAATCAGCAGTCATCAATCTGAGTTTAGTGACTCAAAAGCTGGGGCAGAGCTTCTGGACCTCATTCTCAGGAAGGTAAATTGTTATTTCGTTTCCTTATAATTAATTGATATTATGTTGGTGATAATCTGGCTTCCGTTAATGCGCATAGGCAATTAATCGGAGCTGCAATTGATTTAATCTTTTGTGTTTTTTCTTTCCCTTATAAAATAAAATGTGTATCATATCTGTTGCAAAACAATGCTTTTTTATTTTTCTTCTTCTTCTTCTTCGTCTAATTTCCAATGCTGCAACCATGGTGATCCCTTGACTTAATCTTTTGCTGCCTCTGTTCTTTGGAGAATTCTTTCATGGGAACTTTATCTTAAGTTTAAACTTTAAACAAATTAATCTTTTATAGGATAGACATAAATTATGCTTTCAACAATGTGTCATTTCCCAATTTTCAAAATATTATAGATGTGATTGTTTAGATTGATTCTGTAATGTTATGGTTTTGTATTGGATGTATGGTATTTTGATTGACTAACATGTTGGTGTCTACAGGAGGGCTATGGATTGGAGCAATCTTTGAACGAAGTTGCCTCCTCACCCCCATATTTTTGTGGCTCCCCTCCCAGTAGGGCTGCTAACCCATTAATTCAAGATGCCCGATTCGGAGATGAGAAGTTAACTCCTGTTTCGGCATCTCCATCCCCATCAACTCTATCATCCCCACGCAAAGCAGGTTGTGTTAGAATGAAGCACGGACTTAAACCCGCTGCAGTTAGAGTAGAGGGATTTGATTGTCTCAATAGGGATCGCCAAAATTCCAGCATCCCAGCATTTGCCTAAACTTCATTGAAAGAAGTGTACATAGAAGAGCTAAATGCCACCACAGCTCACAAATACAGCAGAATTAACAAGAGGGAGTTTTGATAATTTTTGGAGAAACTGCTATCTATTAGTATTGTATATAGGATATGTGCTTTTGTTGGTGATCATCTCATTGCTAATGTCGCTGCTAGAGGTTTGATGGAACATCACTTAAGAGTGTCAAACTGGAGAGAAGGTATGTATATGTTTAAAGCCTTGGCTCTGTTGTAATATAAGATGGGTCTTGATGTTCTTGGTAATCACTATGAAGAGTCTGTATAAAACTATTGGTTATTTAGTTTGATCTGTTACCCTGTAAATGTATTTTGGCAAGGCCTAATGATGCAAGTGCTCTTTGGAACTATGGTCCAATTTCGCGTTACCCCCAAAAAGGACGACTCACCTTGGAACTCAACTGTATCAAATTTTTTTTTTTTTTTGGTAGGCCGTTCCACATGGACTGATGTTTTGTGTTTGACTTTAACCCATGTCGTCGAACTCTTTTGAAACTGCTGATGTCTGTGGTGAACTGGGAAGAAGTTCGGGTGGGGGTGAATGTATTTCGTAGATACGATCCTGGTGGACCTGGGGGGGTGGGGTCAGGGAGTGAGCGCCTCGTCGTATTTTGACGAAAATCATGAGGACTAAATTAAAATTTAAAAATGTTATATAATTAAGAGGATTTTGGAGAGAAATTTGGAAGAGCATTTCTCAAGAGCTCAATCATGACTTTCCACTCATCTAGTTTTGTGTATTTTTCGTTCATCTTTGGTGCCTATTTATAGTCATGGGAAATACATAGTTTACTACGTAAGTGGTAGGTTTCAATTACATCACAAAGGTGTAGTGGGAGAGGTAGGTATTACATGGTGTATGTAGATATGGGGGGCTCTTATCATGGATTTACAACTTTCCCTTGGATATCTACCATGCATGGAAAATACTTCATTAAAAACCTTGCCAGTGAAACCCAATGAGACAAAACTTGGTTGAGAGGAAAAAAAAAAGTATATAACCATGTGTAACATAAATTCTGTGTATATAACACTGGCACACATGAGACACTGCCTCATTAAAACCTTGTCAGGAAAAACCTAGTGGAATAAAAACCTGGACGAAGAAAAAAGAATACAATGTGTGAAGATCTTTATTGATTGCACGCTCCTCTTGATGCTTGGAAAAATATCTTTAAGCCATATTGTTTACTATCTATCTGAATGTCATAGTTGGTACTGTTTTCGTGAATCAATATTACAACATTGTTGGATGCTCCCCCTGAAGAACTACTCTCCTTGATAACTCCATACATGGATTATTTGATGGTCTAAGAGCATCCACAGTGGGGAGGTGTATATGGGGGTGTATGTTAAATATACACCCCGAGTCAACGAAATCGTCTCCAATGGGGAGATGTAAATGGATGTAAATATACATCACCACCATGGGGATGTAAAATAAAATGTATATTTACATTTATTTTTACATCCCTTGCATGCGGGACCCACCCAAGAAAAGAGAAGAAAAATAAAGAAAAATCAACATAAAAGGCTGGGACCCACGACTACACCCCCGAATTTACACCCTCCCATTGGAGCAAAAAACATATTTACACCCCCCCCAACTGTGGATGCTCTAATATTGCTATCGCATTCATCCTTCACAAATTGAGCTTTAGTAATGCCTGTATAAAACTTGCTCTTGTAGCATCATTGAAGGATGTATGTGTGTCTTCATTTATTTAATCCTTATTGAGGTTAGAATAATACAACAATATCCATGCTATTTTCATAAATATTATACTACATACAATGACTTAAATAATTTCATATGTTTTCCAATCTATATATATATATATATATATATATAATAAGGCTCAGATTTATAATGATGAGAGTATTGAAACTTTATATGGTATAGTCAATCATTCATACATATTTTTGTATGTTTTAAGAATAATTGCATATGCTAATCTCTACAAGAAAAAAAGGCTAATGTGACCAAATAAGAAGTGAGGCTTGTAAATTCGTCACATATAATGGGGATTTTTGACGAATTTATCAAGTCGTCACTCATAAGACGACGAAGACCTTTGGAATTTTGGAGGAAGGCCAAATCCCTCACAAATAGTCTGGCGGTTTTGGGCGGCAGAGACCAACAATTATTTGTGAGGCTTGTGGGGTCACATATAATATTTCAAGGCGTCACAAATTTTTAGTGCGGGAATATCTATCCGAAAAATGAAAAATAAAAAGGAATGAGCGGAAAAGTTTCCCGCCCCAAAATAAAATTATATTTTAGGGTTTAGTTATCATCACATATGCACACATGTGAGGACCTGGCCTCACTTATTCACATAAATATTAATCAAATTTACAACTATTCATTCATCTCCCTTTGTTTATTCGCTCTTTACTCGCTCTGCAACCAAAACTCATAGCCATCTGGGTTTCTCAAATCATCGGCCGACGGGATTGATTCTGTATCATCGTCGGCTACTTCTCTGATGACGGCCACTTCTCCGACGACCTTTATTGCTCCAGCGACAACTACCACTTTGACGAAAGCGCTTTCATTCCTAATTCCTCAACGCACCACAATATCTCTGTCTTCTTAATCCTAATATAGGTATCATATTTGTAATTTTTTTTTATCTCTTTGCTTCAGTTTTTTTTTTTTTTTTGGTTGAATCTCTTTGCTTTAGTTCTAGTTAAGTTGAGTGTTTTGGTGAATTTCTTCATGTTTAAGATTTAGGATTTATAGAATCATTCTGTGATTGTTGATTGGTTTATTTGTGAAATTTAATGTTAAAGAAATCTCTTCAAGCATAATTTGATTTATTGGGTTTTTATGCACTGTTGTTAATTTGCTTTATTATCTTTGCTTTTCAAAAATAAGAATATGAATCGGTGTTTACTTTTCAAAAATCTCATTCTTAGAGTTCTAATTGGAGTTGTGCTTTAGGAGGATATTGGGATGTAATAGGAAGTTTTATTGTTACTTTTCCTTTTATTTATTGTTTTATTAACTTTACTATTTTTTGTGTGCTTGCTGAGGCAATTATAGAAGAATATAAGATATGTAATCAATATGCTTCCTATCGTTGGCTACCTAAAAGATCAATTATGAGACAAGCCTTTTTGGATATCATAAAAAACATGAAAACCCATCATGCTGTTTGAAAGATTTGTTTCTACATAATAAATTTGGAACATGTTTATTATCTAATTACTAGTGCTTACTTTTTCTTTTGGCAGGTTGTTTTTGTTCTCGCTGCTGCTTTTTTGCTAGGAGCAAGTTTATTAAAAATAATTTGCAGAGAGGTGAATTCCCCTGCCATTTCTCATAGTCATTAACTTTTCTTATTTAAGTTTGTGTCTATATAGTGGTTATAAATACAAGTTTTAAATGGATAGGCAGTGGATTGCCAAATGTTGTGATCGAGGAAACGATCCAAATTATAAGAAAGGGATTGAATCCTTCATTGATGTTGCAAGATACCATATGAATACCAGTGGTGAGATATTATGACCATGTAGGCATTGCCATAATTCATTTTGGCACCCTATTGATATGGTTCACTTCCATTTGTTGCAATATGGGATGGATGTTACAATTATGACAGATGTTACTTTAATCAGTTTTTGTATTTCTTTGATAATTGGGAAAGGCCACATAAAGACAGAGAGCATAATTGGATTAGCGAGGATGCCCAAGAAAAGCATGTAAGTCAATAATGATTTATATTAGTATTGCACCCAAATTGATAGAAATCGTGGATCCTCTTACATATTTAGAAAACACTATGTAATACTGCTTTTTTCAATGGGTGTTGGTTGATTAGTTTTTCCTATTTGTAACCACTCTGTATGTATTATATATATTCATCCTCGAGAGAAGAATAAACATATCAGTTTTAAACCCTAATTATTTTGAGTAGATGAACCGAGGGCCAAGATAATTGAGGAGTTGATGAGGATATTGAGGCTGATTCGATAGGAATTCCAATTGAGGCTGAGTTCAAGATCATGGGTGATGTACTTGGAGTGAAAGGTAGGACAGTTTGTGGTCTTGGTGCTTTTCCTCAAATGGAAGCCAATATCTCAACTACTGTTTTTTCTAGAGCTTCTAATTATGAGCTTAGCAAGTTACAAGATACAGTATAGATGCTTGCCACAAATATGCAAAGTGTGCAGGAAGAATATTCAAATTTGAGGGCAAATTTGGTGGCAGCTCTGGAGGCATCCAACAATGATGGGCTGGATAATGCACAGTTGATGTCAATGTTGCGTGCAACTTTGATGTCGTCGGCAACAACCTAGGATGAGATTTACATGTTTATATTATGTTATTTTGGATACTAAGCATGTTTAGAACCTTGGATATACTATTAAGCAAATACTTAACTTGCATATGCTATTTTGGATATTATTCATCTATGATAAGCTTTTTTATTCTTGATGCATAGTATTATATTTATTAGGATCATTGTCATGAAATCATTCACACGTACTATCAATTCTGATGTTTTTCTGGCATAACAAATTATACAATATGACGATTTGTTATATGTCATATTTTAAATAAAGTGACCATTTATAAAGCTTCACAAATTGAATGTTGTGACAACTTGTCTGTCGTCATATTAGATACAATGTGACCACCTGCCAGTCATCAGAAAATGAATTAGGTGACCTATTGTTACATGTCACAAAAGAAACAATGTGACAAAACACGAGAAGTCACATACTGTAAACAGTGACAAATTCATACCTTGTCACATTGTAATATATGTGACACTGAGTTATAGTCGTCACATTTAACATCGGGTGAGGGGCCTAATGTGATGACCCTTGTGACTCCAGAAAATGGTCACTTTAACGTAATCACGAGGAAATTTTGCCTAATGTGAGGAAATGTTTTCGTCACATTAGCCTTTTTTTCTTGTAGTTCAGGAGTCTAAATATTTCCCATAACTTTAAACATTTGAATACGTTGCAATGTCTTTAAATTTGAATTCAATCAAGGTACTCTCTGAGGCAATTTATACATATTAATATTGAGTACAAAATTTGTGCTTCAGGCACATGTCCTTCTGAGACTTGCTTCATGTAATTTTAATCCTTCAGGGATTTTATTTAAGGGATTACACTTCTTGACACACTATATAGCTTTATACTTAGCTATTTATTCCTCTTATACATCTTTAGGGAATCGCTTCTAGTGATATGCTTCCATGCATTTAATAACCCTTAAAGATAGCATGTTGGTCTCTGTAAATATGCAATAAAAAGGCACGACTGCTTGTGTAAATATGGAGAATCTCAATATTCTTTGTTTCTACCAGAAACATTTGTATCATAGAAATTGAGTGTATTCCTCTTTATCCCAAACACCTATGTATAACCTGCAATGCTAACATTTTTTGGTGGTTCATATTATGGGTTCGTTCTTTCACGTTCATTCTAATCTGTAATGGAATTGCCTCTTTCCATTTTGGCCAATGATTTTGTTGACATTTAATAATAGAACGTGGTTCCAATCAACAAAGCCCATTGATCATTTGAGTAGCTACTCTAAAATTAAAAATTGTCATTCATCAATTTGTGATCCCACCATTCTCATGTGCATGTGCATGCATCAATTATAAGTATTTCTTTGCTTTTGGGTACCTAAGCCACTCCATGTGCTTTTATTGTCTTTTTCCAGACAAACATCTCTTGTAAGATGAATTATGTGAGAATGTAGATCATAACCTCCAATGGAGTGTTATTTTATAATAGGGCGTGGATAATCTCCATTTAGGGAGTTGAGACATTTAGAACCCATATATCTGTTATGTTGCAGTCATGCCACAAATTAATACACACATGTTAATGAATTGTCCTTTTGACTCTTTAAACCAAATAATTTGCTACGCATTAAGCTTGCATTATATTAATATTGACATGTTAATAGATTGTCCTTCTAGGACCTCAATCCATATCATTTGCTACACAATAGGCATGCATCATATTGATCACTACTATACACATGTTTTGCTCTTCAGAGGCTTAATCTATGCAATGTATTATTAATGTATTCAACTTGCAATTTGTAAAATTTGCATTAATAATTCATAAATACAAGCCATTCTTTTGGAATGGTCATGATACAAGTCATTCTTCTAGAACGGTCTTATCTCCTCATTTGGTTACCACTAAAGATTTCGTACAAAATATCAAAATACTAATAAGAGTACAAGCATGAAATAACACAAGTATTGCTTACATCCTTAGTTGAGAGAAACTTTGCTCAAATATCATTCAAACTTGTATTGGCTCAACAAATATAATGAAACGCTTGATGATCTAGTTATATCCTGCAAGAGCAAAAATCATAATTCTTTCGTCCCTGTAAAAAAAAAACCTTAAGTGTTAGGTTCAAACAAGGATTTGTTCTTCAGATGAAGGTTATAAAGAAACAAAATCTCATAGGAATAGAGAGTTATAAAAAGAAAGAAAAGATACAAAGAATTGTGATATTGATTGTAAGGTAGGTAAGCAATTAGTGAAGGAAACTGGTGAGGTAACAAACAACAAACTTTTATTTCTCCTAGCCTAGGAGAACTTCAGGAGATTAGAGTGATGTACTCATTCTTGACTGCCCTACAGTCCCTTGAGATCACAGGAGGCGTGATCATAGATAGTCTCGCTTCCTAAAGAAATGATCAGAGATAGTCTTGCCTCTCAAGCACATCGAGCGCTCACTAATAGGAAAAACAAGTTGATATTCTATCATTTGTATAAGATGTGATTTGCAATGAAGTTTGTTAGTAACATATTTATACACAAGAAAGGGAATAGTGTGAGATGATAATTTTCAAATTAACTACAGAAACTTTTGAGGTTCTCAAGACACTTTTGAAAAAGTGACACAGTGAAATCCGTAAAAGCAAGATCAATTTGACAAAAATAGTCCTTGAAACCGTTAAAGTGCCCACAGACATTAATGAAAGCCACGTGAAGTTTTGAAATTTGGAAAGAAAAAAAAAGGAAATATTGGGATCTTGGAAATGTTGCCACATTTTTGCCTATAGATATTGTAAGACCTTATTGGAATAACTGTGTTTCAACTCAAATTCCTTCCATTTTCTGAAAGTTTAGCTTTTTTAAAACTTTCCTCGAAACCTTTAAAATGACTTCCTCTTCTTCTTGCCCAAAACGTTTCAATTTAAATGTTGCTCCCAAAACAACTCCCGATGCCAAAGTCTGGCATCCATCCTTTGTATCCCAAAATCGTCATCCCATGGTTAATGATTCTGTGATTATGAATTATACGACTGCTATCATAGTAGCTAGGAATTTCCTTACTCCAATGGATGAGATATTATTAATGGGAAGGTCTGACGAAAAGGCTATTGATGACTCAATGGCTTTTAGTATTCAGACATGACTCATCGTTTGCTTGCCAAAGCAAACAAGAGTTAGGAGCTGAACACTGAAAATTCATCTATTCGGAGAATGCTTCATAATTCTTAGCTAGAGGTTGAAAACCTTAAAAAGGAAAATAAGGCTTTGTTGAAACTGGTGAGTTCATACTTAATAGATACGCAAATGAAGCTTGACATGCTGCAGATTTCCAATGAAAAGATTCTGGAAGACCAAGAGTGGCTTATGCTAAGCTCAAGAGGTGCCTTTCTCTTTGTCCCGGAACTTGTAAGCCATAATGTAGCTTGATAGATTTTACAACGCCTGCTTTATTTCTTGCATGTGAAAACAATCTATCTATTTGTATACTCTCTTTCTGTTAATAATAATTGGGCAAATTCTTAAATTTGCACCTGTGGTTTGTACATCTTTTCAAAATGACCACATTAAATCTCTCAAATTATATATTTCAATGCATATGTGCCCATAAATTCTGGTCTGGGTTAAATACAACCTCATAATTTAATTGTCATTTTCAAATAGGCATGAAATATAAATTGAGGAAAAACCATGATAATATTACAGTATAGTAATGAAGAGCATGAACTACTATATACTCAAAACTTTAGGTTAGGGATTTCTGACATATTGGGATCCATGGGATTTTGGCCCATATCATATAATATAACAAAATATGGGGAGCCTCATTTCATCCTTTAAGGTTTATCTTGATATTATTCATTCCACGGTGAATCTTTAACAACCAGGGGACACAAAATATACTTCTTCTTGAAGTGTGATAAAATCGAGCTTCATCGTTTTCTTATGCCAAAGAAATATGTGGTATACCACAACTTGTAATAATACCTCAAGGGTTGTCCATTTAATTGTTGAAACTTCAGCTTCTCAACATTGTTAGATTTTGTACTTCAAACCAAAATCACATATTCTCATGGTATGGACATTCTTATAATTTCTTGTACATATTTCACGACTTTTGGCCCTTACATAACTGTCCATATTTTTTAGGAACTTCTGGCATCTCATTTAACTACTCATACATGAGTTTAAGGAATTGCATGTCCCAAAATCACATATTCTCATGGTATGGACGTTCTTATAATTTCTTGTACATATTTTAGGACTTTTGGCCCTTACATAAACTGTCCATATTTTTTAGGAACTTTTGGCATCTCATTTAACTGCTCATACATGAGTTTAAGGAACTGTATGTCCCTTTTTGTATGTATAGTGATGGTTCACCCAAAATGATTATTCTTCATGCATACATCACTATTCATGTATATGATACTATTCATCAAGTCATGAATACAGTTTTAATTCAAGCATACAATACATTTG